CCATCCATCCATCCATCCATCCATCCATCCATCCATCCATCCATCCATCATTCATCCATCCATCCATCCTACCTGAACAGTGTCCAAATCTTTTTCCAGCGACTCCATCCAGGACGGCCAGCGTCAGGTTATCTGGAGTATCAGGATGAAGAGGCGTCGCTCCTCCTCCTCCTCCTCCTCCTCCTCCTCCTCCCACGCAGCTGGTCTCCGTGATGAGGCTGGCCTCAGAGCTCTGTTCGTCGCTGGATAGAGAAGGACTGCGAACATCTCCTCCCCCAGAACCGGAACCAGAACCAGAGCCGGGTCCAGAGCCGGAGCTGGAGCCGTTGGCGCTGCAGGGAACTGTGGCCGGCCCGGTTCCTGCAGCTGAGGGCCAGGAGGGGGGGTCCTCACTGTCAGGGCTGTAAGGGTCAGAGGTCAGAGTTACTGAGGATGATGATGGAGAAATTCTCTAGACCCGATCTGATCCGCTGCTCATACGAATGGAAAAGATCGGAACCGATCAGAACATCTGCAGATCAAACATCTGGCTGAGCATCAGCAGCTGAAAGGGTTAAACCTCTAATCAGCGAAAACAGGCGGAGGAGACGTTTCATTTCTGCTCCTCTGCTGTTAAACGTCTGAACGATTCGGCCTCTGGGGCCTTTTCACTGTCCTGCTTTCAATCAGGTTCTCTGCTGAGGCCCAGAGAGACACGGTCCACAGCTTCAGCACCACTAACTACGGTGGCTGGGAGGGCTCAGAGGGAACCAGAGGCTCAAACACGTTCAGTCTGAAGGCCGGCACACCAAAACATCAGCATCATCATCATCATCATCATCAGGAGGGAACCAGGACCAGCAGCTACTGACGTCGTCTCCAGCATCCAAACACGTTTCCAGGTTCAGACCTCAGATTATTTAGCAAATCAAATAATCTTTGGATTATTTCTTCGATTAATTGATTAATAATCTGACAGGAAAACGTTCCTTAAAGAAGTTTTTTTTTTTTTACGATATTAAAGCAGGAGAAACTAAAACTTTTCCACTTGAGGAGTTCTGAATTGACAGAGGAAAAAGATTTTTATCTTAAATAGAAAATGTTTCTATTTTTTTTTACAATCTCGGTCTAATTCCTGCTCTCAGTGGGTCTCTGTCAGCTAAAGGCAGGTTTTATAGTCTCTGTTCTCCAGGTAACGATTAACTGATAACTGAATTAGTTGATGATTATTTCAATAATCTGATTAATCTGATTGTTTCAGGCCGGATTTAAACTCCAGAATGGACCCTGAGGGACGGGTCCAAAGCAGAGTACAGATGTTAGATCAGAAGACAATCTGGTTTTAACATTGGATGTTTGCAGATCATTAAAGGTTCAGTTTGGCCTCCAGCTTCTTTTCTTTAGACCCAGATCCAGTTCTGGACCGGAGAACTGAAGGTCTAAATGTTCTGGTTGGATCTGGTTTAAGAAGCATGGCTCCGGATTCACACCTAAACCGGTTCCGGTTTCAGTGATCATCGATCTGCCTTTTAATCCAAGTTTGTTCAGACAGAACAGGAACGAACCGGGAGTGAAACCGGTCATGAGAAACTGGTTCTGGTCAGTCGGGTTCAGCCTGTTACTCTTTGGCCCATTGATTAGGAACTCAAACAGCCAATCACATCACAGTGATGTTAATCAGCAAACCAAACCAGAGCCTTTGGACCCGGGTTCTGGTTCTGACCGTCTCTATGTGGACCCGGGTTCTGATGGTCTCCTCCACCATAATGTGAAAAAGCTTCAGATCATCTCAAGCAGAACCTCCCAGTTCTGTGGACTCTAATCATCTCCAGATGTGGGTCCAACAGAACCTCTGGTTCGGTTCTGAATGAGTCCAGATGTTCTGATCCTAGATTTAGAATCTAAACCGAACAGAACTTTGATCTGCAGTTGGGTTCTCTGGTTCTGTTGGTTTTATTACTCATCATCATCATCATCATCATCATCATCATCATCATTATCATCATCATCATCATCATCATCATCATCAGGTCCAGCAGGACCTCTGATCGAACCGAGGCGGGTCTCACCTGAACACCTCCCGGACGTGGCCGCTTTCAGGTGAGGTCTCCCTGAAGAACGGGACCACCCGGGACAGGCTGGCCCTGCGGCGGGACGCTCCGGTCCCGCTGGCCTTGTCCCCCACCCCTCCGAACCCCCCGGCCCGGGTCAGAGCGGTGGTCTGCTTCTTCAGGAACTTCTCCAGCGGTTTCATCCCCGCCGGCATGGTGCTTCTGTGGACCGGGGACCTGGGGGGCTGAGACCTGGGCTCCAGAGACCTGGGTTCTGCTGACACCTGGATCCTGGGTTTTGGGTCGGTACCTGCTGCTGCTGCTGGGGCAGCGGCGCCTACATCATCCGGCCCCCGCAGGTCGGCTCAGGTGCGCGCAGGTGAGAGAGGAGTCTTTGGGGTTCTGCGGGACCAGCAGCCCGGTTCTGACCCATTGGGGGAGGCGGCGGTCTCAGGGATCCGGATCCGGGCCGCTCTTCCACCGCAGGTTCCGAGCTTTAGATCCGGGGAAGGAGCGCAGGCGGAGCTGCTCCGGTTCGGGCTGCGGCTCTGCGGCTTTGCGGCTCCGATCAGGATCCGGGTCTCTGCGGTTCACCTGCAGGTCTACCGGCGGCTCGGTTCTACGGACCCTGGTCCGGTTCGGATCCCGCACAGGTTCGGTTCTCCGCTCGGCTGCTGCTGGCAGATTTTCTCTATGAGCGCCGATGAAGAGGAGCACGCGCGCTCCCCCGCCCTCCGCGCGACGATCTGCTGCAGTTGCGCGCTCCCGAATCTCGCTCTGCACGGTGGCGCGCAGGGGAAAAAAATTAATAGAAATGGAAATATCCCCGACGACAGAACGGAAACAACGCGAGATTTCAGCGTGAGAGCTTTGATTTGTTTGATTTAGACTCTGATGCCAAGAAGAGAGAATAAAGACTGACCTGTGGTCCAATGAGGATCACAGCAGAGAACTTCCTGATCAGTTTCTGTTCCACTGCAGGGCGGGACTCCCTCCTACCTCAGGTACACCTGTGGACAGGTACGCAGGGTTCTGGGCAGGGGCGGATTTAGGAAAATTGGGGCCCTAGGCAAAGACAGACAGGGGCCCCTCTGAATGGAGAAGACATCACATCAAACAGACCCATTCTACAGATAGAAAATGTTAATAGAATAGACATCCATTATTTGTTCTAGGTTTTGTCCCTCTCCAGATTAAAAGAACCAGTACTATGTTATTGGAGACATTTTTCTCTTAATTAGCTTGGAAATAATGTGTTTAATATTATTTTAAAAGCTAAAAATGCACAAAATTTACATTTAATTATTCATCTGACAGGGACAGTGCATTAAGAAGCATTGCTGCAATTACAGCAGAATTAGGTTATTTATTTTAATTTGTTTTCCCTGGACAGATCTTAAAATGATCTAACTAAAAACAAAACAGCAAGAATTTTGCAGTGAAAAATACAAATATAAAAAGAAATAAAAACAAAAAAAAAAACTGGAATAAAACAATAAATAATAAAAGTTTTTTTTTATTTTTAGTGGCTCTAAACAACTTTTTCTTGTTCCTTTCTGAAAGGTTGCAGACTTCTGGTTTAGACTGAATGGAAACATTAAACTCCTTTAATCAGGGAAGTTAAATATTAGACTATATCAGATTTCTGCAGGGGTTTATATCATGGAGTTTATCTCCAGAGTTTAAACAAAGCAATAAAAAAAAAAGCCATGCACGTGGCACAGAGGAGGAAATCTGGATAAAAATGGAGATCAGTCACTTTAAAACGTCATATTATTATGGAGGGTTTAAAGACAGACGAAGCTGCATTAAAAAAAGGAGAAAAAACCCAATAAAATCCAAAGTAAAATCAAGGAGTCATTAATAAATGAAATCTGATTGATTTATTGACCTCATAATTGTAATTACGTCATAGCGTCACTACAGGAAGTAGAGTAAACCTCTCAGCCTCTCATTGGTCTATTTTTTCCCCCCTACTCTGCAGTTTCCTGACCAATTAGAGGAGGAGGTTTCCCCACCATCCTCCTCTGCGGTGCATCAACCTTAACCGGCCGAATTCTACAGATCAGCTGCCGCCCATCACCGACGGGAGGCGTTGCCATGGTTACAGCGGAGGGGGGGATGCAGACGAGGATGAAATGAGAGGGATGGTCCTCTAACAGCTGAGGCCCCTTTTGTCCTGAGCAGCAGATGAATATTCCTGAGGCATCCTGATTGGTCAGTGGAGCTTATGTAAGAGCTCCGCCCCCTGCAGCTCATTAATATTCATCAGGAATGAGAACAGCAGGTGTGATGATCAGAGAACAAAAGGATGGAAACTATCAGAATAAATATTTAGTGAGGAGTTGATCAGTTTTCATGCTTTAGTCTCCAGATGACTTCATGCTCTCTGCTGTTTCAAACTGGGAGGAAAAACCAAAAGGCTGGAAGCAGATTCCTGGGCTCAGATGTTTGAAGCTGCAGCTGAAGTTTTTCCACAGCGTCTCCTGGACACCGTGGGGAAGCTAACGGCATCACAGCAGAGAGCATTAACTGGTGAAATGGTGTTCCTCAGGGTTGGGTTTTAGGACCACTGCTCTTCTGCATCGTTCAATGACCTCAAAGTTGAAAAGGTTTCCGGTTCCATCCATCAGCAGACAAGCATCAAATAGGAAAATACAAATACTTCATTACCAGGGGCGGAGCTAGATGGGGGGCCAGAGGTGGCCATGGCCGCCCTTAAGCCTGGTCTTTGCTCAGAAACCAGGTCGTCTGCGTGTGTCACAGTTAATGCAGATATGCCGCCGCCCCCTCCAGACACTCTGGTGCACCTCCACAAAATTGTAGCTGACTCTGATTGGTCGATTCTACATCTGCTCTATTCAATGCGTATTTCCTGTTTGGTACCTAATGGCAGAAACTCTGGCTGTAGCTCCGTCCACAACGCCTGGCACACCTCGGACTCTATCCCAGCCTCCGTGCAGGACACTAGTTTGTGGATGAGGGGTTGTAGACGGCAAACAAGCTCGTCAAACCGACTCATGGACGCCCACAATCCTAGCTAGGTCCTGATTGGCCCTCTGGCGTTGTGGTGTGAATAACATAGCGCGGACCATGCGTTAATATTGGGCATAAATCAAAAATACCTGCGTTATACCTGCGACAAACTGCTGCTGGAGGATTACCAGCCCTTTAGCCAATCATTGGCCACCCCTACCATATTTTCCCTCTAATACAGACGATGGCAGTGGTAATGCTCTTCAAAATTATTAAACATAATTTTTCATATATTAACAATTACTTGACAACTAAAATCCTCTGGTTAATGATGCACATCAATATACCAACATTAAAGTTGATATATAGATTAACGCTCTTTTCAGAACTACATTTTTGCCATATAAGGGTCTCCACAAATCATCTAGGAGTCTTGAGTAAAATCATATCTACTTTAATAACTTAAAAATAGATTTAATGCAGCTATTAGTACATGTAAATATTAATTTTGTGCAGAAGAATTTAAAAAAAAATGTAGGTAATTCAATTGTTTAGCACCAATTCACAACATAAGTCATCTAAAGGCACTTTACAGTTCACTAGATCATCCAGTCAGAGAAACAGGACTACACTGGAAAACAGGCCAAGCTCCAACATCTAGAAACAAAGGTGTTGATGGCAGCAGCACAGCTGATATTTCTCTCCAGGATGGAGTCACAGCCAAACAGGAACAGACCAGATGAAGCTACTATGAGAAAAAGCAGAGAGAGCAGAACGTTAGAGATTGAACTAACAGATTCTGCAGAGTGGGAGAATAGAGATAGAATGAAGCAGAATGATGAAAAAGGGGTCCCTATGTCCTCCAGCAGTCTAAGCCTATAGCAGCAGAACTATAGAGATAACTCAGGATAACCTGAGCCACTCTAACTAGAAGCTTTATCAAAAAGGAAAGTTTTAAGCCTAGCCTTAAAAGTAGACAGGGTGTCTGCCTCACGGACTAAAACTGGTAGTTGGTTCCACAGGAGAGGAGCCTGATAATTAGAAGACAATGGAAAAGATGTTCGCCCCAGAAATTTTGTCCACTATACCTTTATTTTGGCAGCATGGATGTTTAAATAAATGCATCAGCAAAGGTTGTAGGAAAGTATAGTGTTAGGTTTATTCAATGATGATTATAAGATTAATGTATGCTTATGAAACATTTGTGTGAGGGGATGCTCCACTGTGTCTTGTGATTCAGTCAGGAGACCATCCTGTCTTTATAAACTAATCAATTGTTCTTTTAGAACAATACTCTGTAACCATGTGTCGTGTTCTGTTAATAAAACGCTCTGCGGAGGAGGTCCGGTGTGAGACAGTGTGTTTGCGTCTGGGGTTCAACTGTCTCTCCTCCTGCAGAAGCTATATGAAAATCCTTTACTGTGTATTTCAGTTCTTTTACAAACCTACATTTTTGGTGCCGAAACCCTGGAGTAAAGATCCAATTGTCCAGGACCGTGTGGGACAAGGCCAAGAATCTGTGGACAGCCGTCCCCCCCCTTCGCTGGACGGGGGCATTTTGTTCCAGTCCTTCCCTGGGCATCTTGGTGACGGCTCCAGAGGAACTGATCTACACGACATAGGGTAGGCCTAAAGCTTTTGATCAAAAGTTGGTCTGGGACCATTTAAGTTACGGCTGTAATCGCGAGAATATTTGACGAGACAAAGTGTTGTTGACTGATATGGGATCTGGGTATTCTGTGCGTTAGAGTATGGGACTCTGTTGTTCTCGAGATTGTAAGGTTTGCAGCTGCCGCAGCAGGGATGGGATATTTGACAGATATGGCATCTGGGTATCCGGTGCGTGCGAGGGCCTGGAGTTTGAGATTTAAAGTGCACATGTAACGATAGGTGTTTTGCGTCTGTATTGGTTAAAATAAAAAAATATAATAGGCCTTAGAATAGGAGTGACTGTGTATTTCAGTCCTTTTACAAACCTACATTTTTGAACCCAACGTATAGTTAGTTTTAGAAAATATGGATGTTTTGCTTGTTCCTGTTGGAACAGAGATTGACCCTGAGGTTCCAGCGAACTTCTGTTTTAATTAGCATGTTTTCTGAACAAAAACAAGGCTTTGTTGGGCTGCTGGATAAAACCTGGAACTCAACGTTATTTCTGACATTTTGAACTGAAAAATCTTCCTGGATGGAAGAGAAACGTCTTCAAACTTGGAAACAAAGTCCGTTGGATTTTTTTTTACTTTTTTGGAACATCACCTTCAAAACTTCTGGTCCAGTTCACTGTTGCGTCATGCAGAGATCTCTCCTCCCTTCTGTGGGCGGCAATATTATGCAGATCTATGTTAGTTCAGCTCTACTTTTAAAACCTGAGAAGTCGTATAACCAACAGCTTCTAAATGCTTTAGATAAGCAGCCGATATAGACGTCTGTGAAAGTGAGAGGAAAGTTTAATGTTTGTTTGCAGCTGCTGGTCACAGACAGCTCAGAGACGTTCAGGAAAGAAGGAGAAACTTTATTCTGACATCAAACCAAAGACGTTTCAGATCTGAGCAGAAACAGAAGATGGCTGAAAACAAAAAAATACAAACAAGAAATAATTCATCTGGAAACCTTCAGCCTAGGATCAGTCTGGAATTCCTGCTACGCTCCGAATGTTTGAAACGAGCAGGCGGTCCAAGCGGCGTCGCTACAGAAACTACAAATAAAAAAAACAATCAGTTTGATGAAAAGGAAGACAAATGAGGCAGCGCCTCTCCACCGCTACGGTTTGGGTCCCTGCCGACTCGGCGTTGGCGTACTTTAACCCTTCAGGCTCATCTCTTCCAGCTTTATTCACAGCGGCGTTGGCCTCCATCACGCAGCCATGATGGAGCAGACGGGCCGCTCGGCGCTGGAGCGGGTCAGAGTTCAGGATTTACTTCCTGAAACCTTTTTCTCTGACCGTGACCCAAACAGAGTCGGAGCAGATTTACTGTCAGAAGATCCAGAAGGTTCTGGTTCGCATGTTAACCGGTTCAGACCGGTTGGTTCTGAAGTCCTGTAACCGTGTGATTTATTCTAAACCGTTAAGCTGAACAGGAAGTCTTTGAACGGGACGCGTCATCAGTTGTGGGTCGGATCCGGTCCATCCGGCAGAGCGAAGCCTTGGTTCTGGAAACGGGTCCAGACCGCCGACGGCAGAGCTGGGAGTAAAGAGGAGTTTTGATCTAGTAGTGATGCTGCGGGTCGCCAGCAGAGTCTGCCTCCGTCTTATCCTGCCCCCGCCCCCCTCCTCGGTGGTCCGGTTTGGACCGGCAGCTCCTCACTGACCCGCCCACCCTGCTCCTGCACACAAACCCATCAGAGAGATTAACAAACGGACGATGGGAAGGAAACCTCTCAGCCAATAAGATTCCTTCTTTACGTTTCCTGTTTCTCACCTGTAGTTTCGAGGTAAGGGTGGGGCGGAGTCAGGGGGCGGGGACGAGAGGAGGGGCTGGTCACTCTGAGGCAAACGGAACCTCTGGAGGGGGGGGTTTGACGGTGACGGGCTGGGAGGTGCGGCGGGGGGGTGATGGTTTGGGCTGGGCCTGCTGCTGCATGGTGTCGTAGTACGTGACGCCGCCGTAGGTCACCTGGGACTGGCCCTGGAACGCAGAGAAAACGGGTTAGTGGTCCCCCCGATGTTCTGAGCGCCTCAGGCTTCCGGGTCGGCGGCGCCGGGTCTCACCTGCGGGTTTGGGTACATGGCCGGGTACTGGAAGGGCATGACTCCTGGCGGAGGGTAGAACGGAGGAGGCAGGAGCTGCTGTGGTTGCCCCGGCGACAGAGACACAGGCGGCGCTCCGTAGAGGGCGGGGTTAGTGATGGGGGCTCCTGATTGGTGGGGATGGAGACCTGCAGAGAGGCGGCAGAGTGAGCGACCCGTCGACCCACAGAGGTTCTGAACCTTTCCACGTACAGCCCACCCACCCGGATGAGGGATGTGCATCTCCGGCTGGACCAGCATGCCCTGCGGGGGGATGGGGGCGGGGCCTTCCCCGTGGGTGTAGATTGGTCCCTGGTACGATACTGAGGGGGAGACAGGGAGTCACAAGGCTGCAGAACATCAGCGGTCTAGAAATGATCCGGACTAAACCGGATCAGAACCACCTTTACATCAACTAAGCTTCATTTCACATCCAAACTGTCAATCAGAGGTTCTCTCTGAAGCTGCTGCAGACAGAGAGCTTTACTGACCTCTGCTGGTGACATGGAGGAAGTGCGGCTCTGATGTGAAAACTGACCCAGTTCTGGTTCCAGGACCAACCGGGTCTCCACTACTCCCTGAACTTCAGCTCCTTTGTTTCCTGTCCTTTACCAGTGGACTGGTTGATTATGTCTGGTTGTCATGGTTACTGAGGTCAATCTCACCTGGGTTTGTCCAGTGATGAAAGACAGGAAACAAACGAGCTGCTGAAGTTCAGGAAGCGGTGGAATTTGGCCCATCGGACCCGTTAGAGGAGCTGCTTTAACAGAGCAGCCGTAATTTCAGAACCGTTCAGAACCCGGCGGCCATGTTGGCCCGTTTCTGGATTCAGCTGGTTTCTACAGCTGCTGTGAATCTTACTGGGCTCGTAGTAATGGCCGTCCATCACTCCCAGGTGCATGGGCGGCGCCGGTTCCGGCACGGCTCTCTGGCGCTGGGAGGAGTACCGCTTGGCTCGGTTGGAGCTGACGCCCATCTCCTCCATGTTGGGAAACTGAGGCGGGCCGCCGGTGACGTGCATCGGACTGGGCAGACCTGCAGACACAGAGGCTGTTTGAACTGGGCCCGACTGGTTCTACTGGGTCAGAACCGACCGTGACGACGGACTCACCTCTCATCTCGGAGCGAACGAACGACGTCTGGTTTGGACTCCAGTTCCGTCGGGCCAGGTTGAGCTGAGCCACCGCCTGGTCCAGCTCCGCCACTCCTCCCCCTCCCGTCTGACCCGCGTCGTCGCCCTCCCCCGCCCAGTTCTTCCCTCCCCCTCCAGCGGGGGACGGCGTGTTCCCCCCGGCTGCCGACTCCTCGACTGAGGCCTGCTTGCTACCCAGGTCCGCGGGCCGGGAGCGAGTCCTGCGGGCCAGGGAGTAGGACTTACGTTCCACGGGACGCTCGGCGGGGGGAGAGGCTTCCGGATTGGCTGCTGAAGGCTGGAGGGCGGGGTCAGAGGCGGCTCTGTCGGCTCCACCCCTCTGCTCCTGTCGTCTCGGCGACTGAGCCGCTGTCACCGACCTCGGATCCTCTTCCGCCTCGCCTGATTGGCTGACAGAAACCTCTTCGATGACCACAGAAGAACCCCCCCTTCCTGCAGGGCCCCGCCCCCCTCTGCTGGCCCCGCCTCTCTCCCCCACCGGGTCCAGCGGAGCTTTGGGACCGTGCCGCTCTCTGTGCTGAACCTGAGGTGCGTTGGATTCATTGTTCCTGTACTCCGCGTGAGAGGAGGGGTGCGCTTGGTTGTGGTGGGGGGGTCTGCTGCGGGCGGGGGGCGGTCTGGAGGAGGTGCTGCTCCGCTGAGCCGCGGAGAGGGGAGGAAAGGCAGAGGAGGGCGGAGGGACAGACGAAGGAGGAGCGGCTCGGTTCTGCCAGGACCGGGCCGGTCGGGGCCCCTCCCTCCACCGCTTGTCTCTGCTGGGGGACGCCTGCCTGCAGGAGGACAGAGGTTAAAGATCAGCCCAAACAGAACTCCCCCGGTTCTCCTGACCGGGTCGGGCTTCACGATGGGTGGAAAACGAGACGCTGAACAGAGGAACCGGTCAGAACCGGTTCTGTCAGATCAGCATACCCGTTTATCCCTTTAGTTCTGTTAAAAAAAGAAACTTTAAACTAGCAACAATAAAGGAGTTAAATAAAGGAAAATTACCCAAATATTGATGGTTACAATTTAGAAAACAAAAGGAAATTTAAACATTTGATTCTAAAATTCTAGTTTCACTGGAAAACAATGAGGGAGGAGAAGATAGAGAGATTAGAGGAAGATGGAATGATGAAGAGACCAGGTGGGTCACTGGTGAAGGTGGACAAATGAGTCAGGATGAAGAAAATGATGTTGGTAAAAGTGGTGAAGATGAGAAGATTTCCAAATCAAAGAGATAAAGCAGACTCAAGGAGGAAATTAAGACACAGAAATCCAGGACCTCCTGGAATGTGAATATTGTTTAAATTCCAGTAGAGATGTTAGATGTGAATCTCTTAGAGACATTTTGCTGCCCAGTGTTCTATCAGATGAGCATACCCGTCAGACCAGCATACCTACAGTCAATCCCCGTTTATCCCTTTAGTTTTGTTCAAAAAATAAACTTTAAACGACCTCAAAGAGCGTTTAGTCCTTTAGTCATGTACAAAATTTTTTTATTTAATTACATTTTGGTGTTTTATTAAGCATATGACGATCTGACATTAAATGATTTTTTATTGTACAGGACTTAAGGGATAAACGCCCGTTGAGGTAGTTTAAAGTTTCATAGAAAACTAATGAGATAAACTCAAATCTGGCGTCTTGTGCCTCCTTATTTACTAAAGGTACAGAACACAGAGGAAAGGTTCATCCCAGCTCATTTGGATCTGGTACCAGTAACTCCAACCTAACACCATCGCACATTTTAGTCCAGA